ATCAAAATTTCTGTTATTTCTACTTTTCTGATAAGTTCTTTAAAAATTAAAGATCAACACTGAATTTTGTCAAATGCTTTCTCTGCATCTATTGAGAAGAATGTATATTGGACATACATTCTATAAAGTATTCTATAGATGTCAATTAGTTCATGTTGGTTGACAATGCAGATCAGATCATCAGAGAGTGATGTTGAAGTTTACAACTGTAATGGTAAATTTATCATTTTCTATGTGAAATTTACCAGTGTTTGCCTTATGTATTTTGATGCTCTATGTTAAGAGTACAAATGTCTAGAACTACTATGTCTTCTTGAAGAATGTAACCCTGTATCATTCTGTAACTGCCCTCTTATTTTTTTGCTCTCCGTTGTTCTGAAGTCTGCATTGTCTTAATTCAATATAACTACTATAACTTTCTTGACTGTGTTAGTGTAATACATTTTTCTACAATACTTTACCATTAACCTGAGTACTTAAAGTGTGCTTCTTCTAGAGAGAATATAGTCAGGTTTTTTGCCTCTAATCTGACAATCTCTGTCTTTTAACTAATTTGTTAAGACTATTCACATTTTAAGGTAATTGTTGATATAATTAAAATCTACCATCTTTACAACTCTTTTCTATTCATTGCTTTTGTTTCTTTTTCTTCTATCTTTTCTAATTTTAACTGAGTATTTGATAAAATTTCATTTTACCTTCTCAACACGCCTTTTATCTTTCCTTTATAAAAAAAATTTTGGTGTTTGACTTACAGTTAACCACATATGTTTTTAAGTAATATAAGTCCACCTTCAAATAACACTATTCTTCATATGTATTGTAGGTACCTTATAACAGAATTCTCTATTCCTCCCTCCATCCCTTGTGACATTGCTGTTATTCATTTTATTTATCTATATATAAAACCGAATGTAGTATTATTATTACTTTAAACAGTTAACTTTTAGATCAATAAGAAAAAAGGAATTTATTGTACCTTCATTTATTCCTTTTTTGACATTCTTCCTTTCTTTATGTTGATCCAAGATTCTGATCTATATCATTTTTCTTCTGCCTGAAGAACTTTTATCATTCCTTGCAGGGCAATTTGCTGTCACTGAATTCCTTCAGTTTTTGTTTGGTTAAATCTTTCCTTACTTTTCTTTAATGTTTTAAGAATAATTTTATTGGATATGAAATTGGCAAATTTTTTTGTTTCAACTCTTTAAAGTTTTCACTCATTTCTTCTTGCTTAAAAGGTTTCTCATTAGAAGTGTCCTGGAATTCTTATCCTTTTTCCTCTGTCAGTAAGGTATGTGATGTTTGTTTTTAAAATTTGGCACCTTTCAACATTTTATCTTTGGGGGGTGTGTGTGTGTGTTTTACAAACCTCTTTGCCCTGTTTATCACAGCCTTCAAGGGTACTGGGATTCCCACAGCTTCTACCATCACAGGGCTGGTGAATGCATATTGGCTGAAGTTCTGAAAGCTATTTTCTGCACACTTGGCAGTTGTGATCATTTGGGTATTTTGCATTCACTCTAAGAGAGGTAGGGGCCAGAGAATAGGGGAACAGAGTGGTCTTCTGAGACTTCAAATAGGTGAATGTCAAAAAGATGTAGACCAAATGTTAATCTGAAATCATTCTCTCTGTTCCCTAAGTCCCCAAATAATTCCCTGCTTTCTTTTCTTGCCAGAAAATAGGCTGCCCTTAAAATGAAATAACGGCATGTTTTTTGACACCTCCAGGTGAGTCTTGACATGAATAGGAGCATAATGCTGGCATGTAAAAGGAGCCAATAAACGGTTAGCTTAGTGGTTTACCTATATCATTTCATTTAATTTTCACAACATGTCTCTGAGCCAGGTACTATTAATTTTATTTTGGAGATGAGGAAGTGAGGTTAAGTAACTTTCCCAGGTTAAGCAGCTTGCCCAAGATCCCAAGAAAGCTGTGATTTCTCAATACCAAGTGTGTTTCATGAAGACCAAGTCTGCCACCAAAAGCATACGACAACTGTCTGAAATACATACCTCATTCCCACACTCCTGTCCTCATGTCACTTAGCAGAAAACCTTGGGAAGTGGGACCATTTATTCCATAAGCGTTGAAGCATGAATCTTTATTTCTGAGGACTGTAAGCCTGGTCCTCTTCAAACCATTATAAATGCTTATCCTTCCCTCAAGGGGACCTCATAATTCTCACCCCTAATAAAAGATAACACTGCTTTCAAATAAGATCATGAAAAAGGCTTTGCCATTACTATCACACAGACATTAAGAAACATTAAGCAGCCATTATCTGATGAAGGCTACCATAATCAGGCAAATGGTTACTAACTGATTGATTACTTTTAGGCATTGAATAACTGACCCTAGATGGGCTTTTCTTCTTTTTTTTTTTTTTTTTTTTTTTTTTTTTTTTTTTTTTTTTTTTTTCTCTCTTGTTGCAGGAGAACCCTATGGCCCAAAATCACCACCGTAAGTATTCTTAAATAAAAGAAAAAAAGCTTTATTGACACATGCTTGACATGCAAATCAATTCACCCGCATACAGTGTGTGATTCAGTGTTTTTACCATATTTACATGGTTGTGCAGCAATTTTTACAATCTAATTATAGAATCTTTTCATTCCCCTTAGGAGTCACTTCTCTTTTCTCCCCAAGCCCACATCCCTGGCCGTAGGCAACCACTAATCTACTTTCTGTTTCTCTAGATTTGCCTAATCTGGCAATTTCTTTTTTAATTCAGTTTTTATTTTAANTTTTTCGTAGAGACGGGGTTTCACCATGTTGACGAGGATGGTCTCGATCTCTTGACCTCGTGATCCACCCGCCTCGGCCTCCCAAAGTGCTGGGATTACAGGCGTGAGCCACCGCGCCCGGCCGGGCTTTTCTTATATTCTTAAGGGAGGAACTAAGAAAATGAAATCTAGATACTTGGAATCTAAGCTAAGTACCCACGCTGCCTTTGGAATTTCAGAGATTTCATCGAAAAGGGCCACTGGCTCTAGTTGGGAGTGGCAGAGAAGAAATGCATAAAGGACCATTTATATATTTAATACAGAGGATTTTACTCTCTTGTTTGTTAACTCAGCTTGAGCTACAACTGGGTGTGTTCCCTATGTATTTAGACATACCAAATGGTCAGCAGGAATCTATGATCATCTAGGCTCCGCATTTTTTAAAACATTTAGTGCTGCTGGAACCCTTTTTTAAAATCAATCAAGTTTTCTGTATGATTCAAATATATACAACAGACATAAAGGGAGCAGCTTTGGTTCACGCACCCACCTCTATCCAAAGCATACCCACGTCCCTTTGGCAGTCAAGGGCTCCATGAAACACACTTAGAAAACCATCGACTGAGACCTATTCTAAGAAGGTGAACTGACCGGCCCCAGAGCCACAGCTACAGCTTAAGAGCTGAACTGCAAAAATAAATACTTTCTGCTTAACAAGTCCCTTTTCAAACGAATAGAAGTGAACAGAACGAGAGAGGATTTGCCAAGATAGAAATGTTGAGCTATTTCATGGCAAGTCACTTTACCACCAGAGCGTCAGCATTTTCTCAGAAAAAAAAAGCAGCTCCAGACCAGAAACAACATTGTTTCCCCCTTGAAGCCACACAGTTTTGGTTCACAGAGTATATCCTCAGGCCTATCTTTCACTGCACTGTTTGTGAAGGGAGAAGAGAAGTGTTGCCCACATGCAAGAAGAATCTTAGGGTGAAAGGGCAGGCAAGGTCTGGAAATGACCCCCTTCCTCTGACGGGCTACCATGGTGAGCATGTTTGCTCCATCTTGCCCACTCCATCCCCCAAATGAGAGACTTGATCTGAAGGGCCTTACAGTTCACTACCTTCCTATTTTCTGCTTCCGAGTACTTATTGACATCCACATATCATATTTGAATACCCTTATCTAAATGGAATCATAATTTGTGCCTTGAAGGTATTCATCCCTAGGGCAGAGAGTTAGTATTATTATATTCCATTTCAGAAGCTTGGAACATTGGTAGGTGCAGATGCAAGAAGGTGGTCAACAGGGAAATGAATGTCCAGAGGACAGGGGTGTCAGGGAAAGTGACTTTCTACCATGGACTCTTTCATGTGATTGGATACATGTGTATAGCTCATTGAGTCAAAGAAGTCAATATAGTTTATCTTAAAGTGTTTTTAAAAAGCATTTTCCGGGTTTGTGTTCTACTATAAAGACACATGCACATGTATGTTCACTGCAGCCTTTTGTACAATAGCAGAGACCTGAAACCAACCCAAATGCCCATCAATGATAGACTGGACAAAGAAAATGTGGTACATATATGCCATGGAATACTACGCAGCCATAAAAAACAATGAATTCATGTCCTTTGTAGGGACTTGGATGAATCTGGAAACCACGATTCTCAGCAAACTGACACAAGAACACAAAGCCAAACACCATATGTTCTCACTCATAGGTGGGTGTTGAACAACAAGACCACGTGGACTCAGGGAGAGGAGCATCACACACTGGGGACAGTTGGGGGTAGGAGAGAGACAGCAAGGGGTGGGGAGGGTGGGGAGGGATAACATGGGGAAAAATGCCAGATATAGTATGCACCTGAAGTAAAATAAATAAATTAAAAAAAAAAAAGCATTTTCCTATCTAGAAACCTTTTCTATTTGGAAGATCTACACAGTGATTCTGTAGCCAAGTTCATGTGAAAGACTTCCTTCTTTCCTTTCTCTCTGATTGGTATGCTCTTATTTTCTCTAGGATTTCCCCAACCCTGCACTGTGATTCCCATATACTTTTACAATGGGCGCTCAAAATCCACAGCATTCTATGATAACCACATACGTTTGTTATATAGCATGGTTCACATAAAACTGGAATTTATCACCCCTTTGAAAGTAAACCCATGCCAGAAAATTTCAGCAGGAAGATGCTGCTTCATGGTAAGGGTATGGGAAAGGCCACTGTGACTGGGAGAAAGAAAGGGAGTGAAATATCTGGGATACTGCATACTTTACCAGTTATGTCATGCTGTTTGAATGACTCACTGTAGATCTGATACTGATTCGGACAATGTTTCTTCAACCATTTGCAGACATCCTGCTGGGTCCATAGAGCCACTGGCTTAGACAGCTTCACCGTAGCTGACTATAAAGAAGGAAAAGAAGATCTGTCAACGCTGGCCCCATGCCTAGGAAGATACTGTAGTTAAAAGTCTTAGAGTATGTTAAAGGCTACAGAATGGATTCCCCTGAAGATAAATATCTAGTTACTGTCTTCCTCCTAACCTCTGCAGACCTTCTGAATACTGCTGAAAACCACAAAGAAAAGGTCCATGTGAAGAAGTTGTAAAAATGATCTAACCATCTCTGCTGGGAAAAAATCCCAAGGAATCTCTAGGAAGTAGTGTTTTTAAATGAATACTCTAGCAAAAAACAATGGGGTTGCTAAGCAATTAATTACATTTTACGGGAGAAATAGCTGGCCCCAAGTGCCTTTCTCTGTATTTCAAGAAGGCATTTAACTCTTGCTGTCCTTGACATTTCTAGAGCCTAGTACAACACTGGCTGCTGCAAGTGCTAATAATTATTTTACAAGTAAATGTTACTAGATTTAGAAGAACTGCAACTCTGTCTGGGGGCTCTGGACTTAGGGTGGCCCCAAAATGCCCAGGAGCATTAGTTATACCAAAGTAGGGAAGCAAAAAGTCAATTCCACTAGGATGTGGGAGAATGGTAATCAGATAATGGGGGCAGTTAGGCTTTATATAGAAGCCAACTAGTCAAGGTCTTTTTGGTTCACTGGATCTTTCCAGGAAGTACTTATGAGGAACATACACAAACCCACACACGGAGTGAGAAGAGGTTAATCACTGACCAACGATGGATTACAAATATATTAGTGAATAAGCATCAATTTAATGTCAGATGATACTCTCCCTCAGAGATCCCAGGAATTTGGTTTTGGCCAGATTAATGCTTCACTGTCTAGAATTTTTATCACTCTGGATCAGTGTTTGCCAAAAAAGTAAGGCTATCATATTGACAGTTATTTAAAGCCTCCTGGGTAGTACAAAGATGTGGCCATTATTATCCCTGCTCTTCTCCAGAGGCATCATTTCCTTCTACTTCTCTATCAAATCTTTCAGATTAAGGCAAGGGGAGAGCCTTCATTTGGTAGGAGTGTGATAGTAACACCTGCTGACATTTTTTGTTGTTGTTGTTGCTGTTGTTTTCTCTACAAAGAAAGGGCTTACTTCCGTCTCAGAATCTTTAAAAAAAAAGCAGTATATCTAGCATCTAATAACTTTTTAAAAACATTAAAGAAACAAAAGTAGAGACGGTGAGAGAGTCATAGTGAAAACAGTGAAATTAATATGGAAATGATTCAAGGTTGGAAAACATAGTGGTCAGGTATTATTTTTTATTTGTCTGTTTCCAATCATATGAGTCCTTGGGCCATCACTTACAAAATAATCACAATGCTGTAATCACATTGTGATTATTTTGTAAGTGATGGCCCAAGGACTCATATGATTGGAAATAAATAAAAATCACTTTTTATTTTGTACTGTGATAATTTCTTTCTTTTACTAATTGAGGTAGATTGTGTTTTCCAAAGATGATTTTATATATGTTCACATATTCATATATGTATGTTTTAATATAGACATATATATACACATATATACATACGTATCTGCTTTTCATTCAGTGGGACTGACATTTGTTCCACTAATACAGGGGGTTGATGCTCCCTCCTATTCCATTTCTGCAAGGTATGTGAACGTCATAACTAATATTACACAGTGGAATTGATGCTATGTGACTTCTGGGGCTAGGTCATAAAAAAGACACAGCTTCTGCCTGATTCACTCTCTGGCACTGACCTTGGAAACCAACCTTCTCCATGAGGAAGCCCAGGCCACATGGAGAGACCATGTGTAGGAGTCTGGGTCAATTTGCCAGCTAAGGTCTCAGTTGACAGTCATCATTAACCACCAGACAAATGAAAGAACAAGCTTAAGATGATTCCAGCCACCAGCCTTCAGATCTTCCATCTGAGGACCCCAGATACCACGATAGAGTCAAATCATCTTTGCAGTCCCCTGAGTGAATCCCTGACCCACATAATTCATGAGATCATAAACAATTGTCTAATATCACTAAGTTTTGGGGCAAATTATTTGGCAATCATAGTAACTGGAATACGTGGTGATGAAGGCAGGGTGAGAGCTGTTATAACTTTGTGTTCCCCAGAGTGTCTTGCTTTCAGTAGACGCTGTGTACATCCACGAAGATAAAGTGAATGAATTAATGAAATTAAACACATTCACAGATATAGCTTGCTATTTAATCAGCAGTGACTTTGACGTTCATCCCTTTCTGCTCTACCTTGCTGTGTTGTGCCTAGGCAGCTCCTAATCAAACATGCCTGCCTCTGCCTGCAACCCTTCACCCTGGAGTAATGGGCTACAGCCATTTCCCTTCTTACCTCTGTGAGAAATCATATTGACTTTTCCTAATTTTGATGGGAGAGGAAGACCCTGGGCATGGAGGGTATAAATGAATAAATGTTTTTGTTGTTGATGATGTTTAGATTTTTTCTTTATGCTCATCATCATGTCCTTTCCTTTGCACAATTAGAAAGCTAGAATTTTAGATCCTTTAGCTAGAAAGGCACTTACTACCATGTTTCACAAGTCAGCACCGCTGAATCTAGTTCTTTCCTGCTCTACAAATTTTCCTTCAGATTAGCTGAATGAGTTTATAGCTGACACATCATTACCCCGAAACTCTTGCAAGTTTCTTGCAAGTAAAGCTAATCACATCTTTTGAAAACTCCTATAAACCAGTCACAGAAGGCTGTAAATTAGGAAGCGAAAGGCAGAAAGATAAAGTTGCTTATACATCAATATACTAAACTTTTTCCTTCCTGGAAAGTCATTCTTAATTTGCTCATTTCCTGGGAAAAGGAGGACCCTCAGCCTCAACTGGGCTTCAGGTGGAAATTTACCCAAACACACCAAGCTGACTCAGAATGCAACCTCAGCAGCCCTCCACGTATGCTTTTGTTACAAGTTTTCCTTTTATCATGAATTCAGAGATTCTTAGGCTAACACTCAAGGAGCTGCTTTGCTTTATCCTTCAGAATATACTCTTACTAGGCATATACTAGTAAGCACATATACTTCAAAACTTTAGGCATTGATTTTTAAGACAGTATGAGTCTCGGTGTAGTGGCTCATGCCTATAATCTTAGCACTTTAGGAGGCTGAGGTGGGTAGATCACCTGAGGTCAGGAGTTCGAGACCAGCCTGGCCAACATGGTGTAACCCCACCTTTACCAAAAATACAAAAATTAGCTGGGCATGGTGGTGCACACCTTTAATCGCAGCTACTCAGGAGGCTGAGTCAGGAGGATCGCTTGAACCCGGAAGGTGGAGACTGCCTTTAGTGGAAACTGTGTCACTGTACTCCAGCAGTGACAGAGTGAGACTCTCTGTCTCAAAAAATAAAGAAAAAGTAAAGACGGTATGAGCCTACAGAGATGCCTCCATGTAAACAGGCATAATAAGTAAAGTGCGTGTGGGGTACTGTTTGTCTGTTCTTAATCAGATGGTAATAAAAGTACTGGTACCATTTATCAGATGATTGTCAGCCTTAGTGTTTTAATGAAATTACTATTAGTTTGCTACACCTTAAGAGCTGTAATGACTCATTACCCCAGTCTGCTGCTTCTTTCGGGATTCTCAGAGCTGACTTTAATTTGTTCTGCCTGACCTTCTCTTTCTGTAGCACCTGGGGTCAACCTCAGTTACTCCTCCTTCCATCAACATTTCCCTCATCCCCGACAGGTACCAAATGTTGGGAGTGAATGCCATAACCTGATTCCTTTAAAGAGCTTACACTTCACTTCTGTGTGCAATTAGAACAATAAGAAGCATATGTTAAACCCACATCACTCAAATTCAACATATTGTCCCACTGAAGGTAGAAAAGGAGAGGCAGAGCTGTCAAAGCCTTCTACCCACCGCTTCCTTTCCTCCACATCCAATGCCTATCCTCTCTTCACAGTCATCCCTAGATGATGACTTTCTCCGATATGCTGCTGGATTCCCACCCACTCCCTCAGTAGGGGCCTAAGCCTAAATAATCGTCTGTAAAGCAAAAAAATAAGGCATTTCACATTTACTAGAAACAGTAAACGCATTAGAAAAAAACATCCTGCCCAACAGCAAACATTAAAAAAATATTTGCCCCAGTTCTCTTTTCTGTGTTCATGTCTACTATATCATTCTCTGAATTTACAACCCTGGAGACAATTTTGGTTTATTTTGCTGCCCTGAAAGAGGCCCGAGGCAGTTTGTTATCTTAACTCCTATGCATAGTGACATGAAGCAGAATTCCAGACATTTCCTTTCTGAATTGGTCCTGGCCTAGTTACAGACAAACTGAAAGTGCATTTCAGATGCCTCTCCTTTCTGATGCCTTTACTTTGTTTTACAGGAAGAACTCCCTTTATGCAAACTACACATTCCTGAGGGAAAGGCTGTTTGCGAATTACTTTTTTTTTTGGCAAATGATTTCTATTTTAATTTACTCATATAATAAATTCAGCTATGTTTTATACTAATTTCTGTTTTGTATTTAACTGGAAAGAACTCTGAAGCATTAAGTTCTCCAAGGTAAACTTGAAGCTTTTCTGCTAACTAACGGAATAATTAAATGATTTAAAGAAGTTTGAAATTGAAAGAACATATTGCAAAATGCTTTTAGAGTTAAATTTTTATTTTGTGATTCAATTATCCCTTAGCTTATCTATTCTGCGATGTAAATTCTCTTTTAATTTACCGGGCTTTGATTTATAAGAGAACGCTACAATTGTAAGATCCCAATGGTTGTACAAACTCTTACCTAGGTGATCCCAGTTGGTTGATTATAAAACAATAGAGAATGCTTAGAATGTTTACATTCATTGCCAGGACAAAGTGAACTTTATGGCCAAATTTCAGAAAGTGGTAAACATATTTTTTAGTATCTCATTACAAGCAAGTGTTTGCAAGTTTTAAGAATTGCCTATTTCTTTCTTCCCCTACTATCTTGCAGTGTCCTTTCTTCAGTTCCCGGTCCTGTTCTATTGTGTCA